AAAAAAAAAAAAAAAAAAAAAAAGTTCCTTGAACTTTGAAATAAAGAATAAATCTTTGACTTCTATTCTAACTGATTTTTTTTAAAACAGCCTTCAGTTCAACCCCGATGTTAACCACTGGTGTTCGTCGACTGACACAAGGATTCAAACCAATACCATAAATGGGAAAAACACCAGTTCTGTGAGGAACAGGTCTGGCAGGATCGAGCAGCCCACATACAAGCTGCCATGGCTTTCAGTGGGGTACTCCATTATTCTTCATGTCCACTACAGAAACTGTGCTTGCCAGCTTAAACGATGGATGTCTACACACTTCATTTTTTGTCTGAAAATATCTGTACCAAAACAGACTGAGCCAGATGTTCAGCCTCCAATGAAACAACAATATAAGGATGAGCATATGGCATTTCAATTCTTACATCCTAGCAGAAATCCACTATCTTTATGAACTAGTTTTGTTTCAATATGCACACATTAAGCCAGCACAACCCTTCAACATTACTACCTTCACAGCACTTGCAAGGTTATGCCAGCTTTTCTACTAGAAAACCTACCTGCCAGATATTATATTATCTGAAAAATTCCTCATACTAAGGAATTCATATTCTACAGCTGAAAACAAATGCACTATGATTTTCTTCTTGCTTTGCATTAAGAGAATGTTATCTGTTCTCTTTTTTTTGGCAAAGGAAAATGAGATATTATTGCATATACTTGATCCTTTATCTGGATGCCTGCCTTCTGATATTTAGATAAACATAATTTTAACACACCAGAAATATTTCATGTTTTACAAAGGGCTTCTGTTCACATTTGGTAAAACTTCTTTTGCTAACCTATGTGCAGAAGGATTCCTGCGTAAGAGGAACCAATTCAGCTTCCACATGAGCAGCTGTTAATGTAGGCACACATTCAAACACGCAGTTGTCTGAAATAGCAGCGCTCTAGACGTTGAAAGTCAAGAAGGGCCAGCTCAGGTTGCAGGCCACCCCTGCGAGATGGTGTAATCACACGCCAGTGAAATCCTTCTCCTGCTAGGAGGCTATTACTGGTCACTCCTTGTGCTTCTTACGAGCGTTGGGACTGGCCTTCAAGCAGTGATTCATGAAGGTATCACACTGCTCTGCCTCCCTGCCTGCTGTCGCAGCTCGCTCCCTTCGTTTCCCTCCTGTTTTCTGCAAACCATACATACTGCACAACAAATTCTGCTCCAAACCTCTCCTCGCTTTTCCTTATCCAGAAGGTAGTTTAAACTCACAAGCAGAAAGAACATGCCACTTGAAGCCACGGTTGTGACTTGTTCACGCTTGGACATCAAAAGAAATTCTGATTTGTTGCTTTATAGTGATGGCAATTTCCAGTACATTTCCAATTCCCTGGGCAGTAATGAAGAACAATAGTTTTGTCTCATCATAGTCATTAGGAAATATTGGTTGCTTAATGCTTAGTTACAGCAGTGATTTACAGACTATAAATGCCTACAGCAGAGACACATTTTTCAGGGCTCTGCGCACAGACTGCTTCAGCTGCAACATCAGAGCGTTCGTTCTGCTTTGCGTAAGAGCACACACAGGCTACACCAGAACACTGTCAGTCCGAGACATCTAGTTTTCATCTCAGATTTCTCTGGCAGTGTGACCCTGAGAACACTTCACTTCCCGGCAATAAATAGCGAAGAACTACCAATTAGTTGCATTTGTTTCCCAATACTGTATATTTTTAATGTGTTCCTCCTTCGAAGCATTTGTAAGAGCAGTACAAAAGATCCAGACAAAATTCAGCTGAAGCACTTAAAATATCCTTAAGGTAACAGGTACAAGTGCAGAATTATCTCTACTGTCAAAAGAAATCAATTTCATAATATTAATAGTGATTCAAGAGTATTTCAGCATTTACAAAGTTTACAGAGAGCTGCAGGTCACGAAACTGTGCAAATGACGTTTAAATACTTCTAGAAAGCCCTGACACCAGGGATAAGAAATGTAATAACAACTGACAACAATGATTTCTGTAACATTTCGGAACACTTAGGAAATTTTCCAAAGTGTAGCCCAAGTAACCAATCTACAAGGATTAATGTTGAAATGCAAGAAAAGAATACTGAATGAAGGAAAAGCATTCTGACCTAATTCTCACATCATTTAAGACTTATTTTAATTACCAATTCAAATATGAACCAAGTGACAATTTAACAAAGAGCTGGCTTCAGAAACAGGAACAAGTTCAGAAACAACTGGCTTCAGAAACAAGATCATTTGTGTGTCAGCTGAGGAAGGACTCAGTTACGTTAAAAGTCAACTTCAGGTAACGTTTAAATATATGCTACTTTTGAAAATTCTCCATACAACAACAGCCAAAATTAACCATTTTTTTTTTAGTTTGCAGGAGAGTCTTCATTTGCAATTTGTACTTTCTAGTACTACTTTAAAATGATACTATTGAATTTCTGAATAAAGTACTTAATTTGCATTTCTCTAACGCATTTTTGATCAGAAAAAGAGCTACCCAGCTAACAAGCCCATCTACAAGACACTGGTGAGTTGATTATTTTTACTTACTTAAGATATTAAGAACAGCCAGAGAGATTAGTTGACTCATGCTAAAATCAAACTCCAGATCAGCTGCAGATCCAGAAACTGCCCAGATGTTCTGTTTCAATACTTTAAAGTGCAACCATGTTCTTTCTCTCATAGGAACTTTTCGTGAGGGTGCACCTTACAGCACCAGGTCACATCCAGTAATGAAAATACCTGTTGTATTGTGGGCACTGGAAACAACACCTACCCATGACAGTCACACAACAGATCACCCCCTTCTCCAAAGCAAACTACCAATGTGAGTGAAAACAGAAGCCCTCAAGATAAAAAGATATGGTACATGAACAAGTTACTATGAGATAAGAGAGGTGTCCTCTTGCCACGGAACACATGAGTGCAGGGACAGCCCACTGCAGAGCACCCATGTTACACTCCGGTTTACCTTGCACTGTCTTGTCCACCAGGTTGTTTTATGGCACTGGAGAAAATCCCTCCATGATTGTTTTCTTTCTCAGTTCCTTAGAATCATAGAATGGTTATGGTTCGAAGGGATCTTAAAGGTCATCAATTTCCAACCCCCTGCCATGGGCAGGGACACCTCCCACCAGACCAGGTTGCTCAAAGCCCCATCCAACCTGGCCTTGAACACCTCCAGGGATGGGGCATCCACAGCTTCTCTGGACAACCTGTTCCAGTGTCTCACCACTCTTATAGTAAAGAATTTCTTCTAAGTATCTAATCTCCTCTCTTTCAGGTTAAAACCATTACCCCTTTTCCTATCACTACACTCCCTGATAAGGAGCCTCTCCCCATCTCTCCTATAGCCCCCTTCAGGTACTGGAAGGCTGTTACTTATAACAGGTCTCCCTGGAGCCCTCTCTTCTCCAGGCTGAACAACCCCAGCTCCCTCAGCCTGTTTTCACAGAAAAAGTGCTCCAGCCCTCTGATCATCTTCATGGCCCTTCTCTGGACCTGCTCCAACAGGGCCATGTCCTTCTTGTGTTGAGGACTCCAGGGCTGGACACAGCACTCCAGGTAGGTTCTCATGAGAGCAGAGCAGAGGGGCAGAATCACCTCCTGTGACCTGCTGGCCACGCTTCGGTTGATGTGGTTGGCTTCCTGGGCTGGCAGTGTGCACTGCTGGCTCATGTTGAACTTGTCATCCACAAGCACTCCCAAGTCCTTCTCCTTAGGGCCACTCTCCAGCCATTCTCTGCCCGTCCCAGGTGCAGGACCCTTATTCTGTTTTAGCTCATTAGTCTGAGAACAGCTTGAGATAACAATCTGTCTTGGATTTGAAGAGCACCTAGCAAAATGGGATTCCCTGGATCAAGCTGTATAGACACCACTGCAATAATAAATAAAATAAATCTTATTGACCTACAGATAATCTAAACTGATATATGTCATTACGCTGAAACAGTAAAACTCCCTCTGACAACAGCGTCAAGAGGAAGTAGGCTAAAGTCCTCTTACTGTTCCTGTAAGGCAGACTGTATTCCTTGAAATTTACTGTACAGGAGTTAATTCTTTAGAATCAACCTTTGAAAAGGAAGTCGTTAATGTTTATAGATATATCGAAAGACACAGCTGTCCTTTTTCAATAACAGAGGTATATCCAGAACGAACTCCCCTTGTAATCAGACGTTTATCACATCCTTTTTTCAGAGACAGACATTACACAGTGAAGTTCAAACAGTGCCTTGGGTTTCAAAAGTGACATACGTTAATTTGGAACGCACAAATGATTTTTCAAACCTTTTCAATGCAGAGTTCCAAAACTGCTTATGCATACAGCATAAGCACGGTACAGCAAACTAGGAAAGGCTACTTAAGGCCCAAGTTTGGTTTTCTTGGTTGTATTTGGTACCCTCTGAGAGGTAACCTTAAATCTCGAGGAGTGTCGAGATCAACAGCTGAAATGCTTTCAATACCTGAAACCTCAGATGAGAGAGAGACAGACAGCAACTTTGATTCACTAATAATACTGAAAATAAAACGGGCAAACGTAAAGAAACCATGCTCTAAAACCTCACTTATACCAACAGTGTGGTTTCCATTTCTCAGGGAGGGGACCTCCCTACTTCTGAAATGCTCATTATCAATGTACAACAAACGAATTCAGTAAAATGGGGGAGCATCATTACTGCTGCACTAATGTAATAATAAACCAAACCATACTTACTACACATATTTATTTGCAGCATTCACCCATACTGAGAATACAATTACAAATTATGCAGACAACACATACTGAAAGACAACATGATTATTCAAGATACAGAGCATTATTAACAGAAATGTACTTGTTTAGAGAGGTAAATGTAATTTAGGTATATGAGTTTATATGAGTTTCTCTGTTCATGAACAGATGTACAATAATTGAAATATTCAGAAGAGGAGTATGTTCTAGTTTTTTGTTTTGTTTCAGTTTTTTTAAGAGGCTCTCCTCTGCGGCATTGTTGATGCTAGTAAAGTATCATTTCATTAACCTTGACCTTAAGAAATGAGATCAAGAATTATTCAGATGCAATTTAGAATATGGCCCAGCTCAGTGAAGCCCACATCACAAATCAAAACAAAGACAACAACCGTCTTCACTCAAACCCATAAACAAGAAAAACATATGATAGCAGACCAGTATGCAGTTACTTCTATCAGCACTTATTGTAATTTATAATTTTATAAAGATTTGATGTTGTTAGCAACAATTTAGGAGTGGCTAAGTTAAAAAAAAAAAAAAGAATTCATTAGGTTTGCAGAATTAATTTTGCTTGGGATTTTCAAGGCAATGGCAACTAAGGGACTTATGTCCATCAGACTTAACATCTGATCAGCGTGGAAGGAGAGAATCTGCTTTCTTTGAAAACCTCCAACTGAAATTATTTTAACTGATTCATATCCCTAGGTTATTTACAAACACACGATTTCACAGGTAAGTACCGAATGGGTCAAGATTTCATTTCATACAATGCTCCTAAATATTAACATTTTAACTACTTTTATTCTGTATACTCAGAAAATAAGTCATATAAGTGCTGTCTGAAAACAACTGAAATGGAAAACAATTCTAGAAAGGAATTCTATTCAATCAAGTCCTCTCCACAAGCATGAAAACAATACAATTATATGTTTCAGTCTGGTCCTTGTGGGAGGAAGGAAAAGTTATCCTTCATGACATATTCATAACAACAACGGCCTTACAGAACTGTTATATACAGAGCAAAACACCTAAATCACTTTTTAACCATCCTTACAAAGAAAGGTTTGCTTAGTAACATTTCAACAAAAAGGCAAAATTTTCAGCCTAAGGCTGAAACAAATTTACTTCCAAAGCACAACAAAACCAGCTTTGTTCTACAAAATTTACTTCAGGCAGGTATTAACAACACGAAATTCATTTGGGGAAGAAACACAACATTAACCTAATAAATAAAGGAGTGATCTATACATTAAAGACATAGTCAAACTCAAACTATTTCTTATTCTTTTCATAAACTAGCAGAAATGAAACTATGGGGAGGCACTAAAGGAACTATGAAGTTGCAGCTTATTGCTGCCTATATATCAGAATGTATTATTATATTATTCAGATTTCTTGAGGAGGACTTTTAAAATAATGGTTTTTTTTCAACTGAAGCACACACAAAAATGCAAGAATAGATTTACCTCTCTTCATAGGGAAAATAAATGCAATTTGGTTCTGTACTAGCATATATTTTTCATGCCCAAGAATTTAATATTCATCATGAAAGGCCTTTTCTAATCATAATATTTTATCAACAGAGAGGATTATCTTCACATCTTGCTGGCAAGTCAAGATAAGTCAGAGGTAGCTTAGGAATGCTTTAGAATTTAGTGTTTTACTTGAAATGAATTAATCCCTCTTTCAAAGGGGTTAATAGTAAGTACAAAAGGCAAACAGTATATACATCTGCCACTGCCTGCACCAAGAGAGTAATTCCAAGAAGCTCAAAATAAAATTAGAAGAGGGGAAAGCACGGCGCGCTGCTTTGCATTTGCCTCAGTGCACCAGTTCAGGCTGGTTTTCTACGAAAGGCAGCACCCCACTAACATAGTATGCGATTCCAAGTGACAGGAGAGCAATGACAATGATGAGGAGCAGCACCCTCCAGAAGCCCAGGTCTTCCACAAACTCTTGCCATGTCGTGCGGAAACTGGAAAGAACTCCTTCACCTTGCTGCAGGTTTGGATTAAGGAGGGAATGGCTTTCCATCGCACTACGGAGGATTAAAGTTAAAAATACATCAGAGCAAAAGAATGCACCTTTAATGACGACAGTAATCCTACTAAGAGCAACTGAAACATTCCAAATTAAAAACTAAACCCACCCGCAGATTTATAGCATTGCCTCTGCTAAATCAAGAGAAAAGCAGATCAGGAAAAGACTCCTAACTCTTAAACTTAAGTTAGCTGAAAGGATGTTTTATTAACCTGTGTAAAGAGAATGATATTTGTATCTGTACAACCACACTTTTTTTGCAGGCTTGCCACCTATTAGCCTTCAAAAGTCAGTCCCCATAATTCCTACTAAATATGGCTTAGTAAAATTTAATGAAGCATAAGCTGAAACCTCAAGGGGCACAGCTCTTCTAAATAAAACAAAAAACATGATTTAAAAATAAACTCTGATGAATAAAATGGAAACTTTAACCAATATAGTTTAGATTCTGAACTCTGTAATGCTCTTTACTACTCTCCTCCATGTCTTCATTACAGAGGCCTCTTCTCTAGCATAAAAATATCACACAAAACAATAAATTTGGATAACAAGAAGTTCAGAAACTTTCTGATCCTCAAGACAAGTTGGCATCACTGTGTTTTCTGCCATATGGTGTTCAGCAGCTGCTTTGATGTTTTAACATTCCACTACCAATCCATCAGGCCCCCTTAAACTGTCAGACTATAAATTAGGGACTGGAACTCTCACTTTTAAATGAAAAACAAATATAAAGTTAGTATGATGCAGTCATCTTGACAGTGAATTGCCTTTAGAAAAAGATGCAAGTTGTTTCAAATATGTTATGGCTTCCTGTACCGTTCTCCCAATTTTGCTGCTTTCACAATTGTTTTATAATAGGAAACTGTTGCTGTATGAAAAACCTCACGAAGAATAGGAAAACTTTCGTACTACTTGATTTCACTTATGAAAAATTTCAGCCATCTGCACAGCCCTACTACTTCTCACTTGAGTGAAATTACAGACACAGGTGTTTACGGGATCAGGCTCTGACAAGCACGAACCAACTACAGGCACAATGATGTCAATAGCAGAAAGTAAGCAGAGAAAAAACAATTTCTTTCCTCCCTTCTAATTGCTTTCAGTTACCATATTCCTAGTTCTCTCTTATAGAAACAATAAAAGAAAACATTTCAGGGAAAAGTAATTTCCAAGTCAAAACTAATTGTAGAAATGCTATTGTTTTTGGTGACAATAATAAATTGACAAAACATTGTTAACAGAAAAAGGTCTCATTTTTTAATCTCTCTTCTAAGATTATACTACTAAAACTTCACACTATTCATATGGTATTGTTTCTTAGGACGTACAGCCGCTGAAGAATAATTAGCCTACACTCCCATAGCTTGCTGAAGTATTGCAGCATCACATGCAGAAGATTTCAGAAATTGCCTATTAAACAGCTTGTCTTTTTCATTTTTTAAAATATTTACCTTGCTGTAAAGCTATTCATGCTTGCCCATAACTGCAGGATTTGTCATCTTCCCTGCTTATTATGATTTCCCAAGAAAAACAAAGCGTTTAGTAAAACACAGCTATTGGTGTAGAACAGAACTACTCACTCATTAAATACTAACTAGTTAATACATAACCAAGAGAGGTTAAATAAAGGTGCAATGCACTTTCAGTGAAAAGATCACATGCTTGCTCATTAAATGGAGAAGGGTACATAGAAAACACTTTTGCTATCGTATATTACAACCCAATTAAAATCAACGTTAGCCAAGATATTTTATCTTATTACGAATTACAGCGGCGTAAGAAACGGTAGCGCAGCAACGCGTCCTACAGCAGAATTTGTGCCCCATGGCCCAGGCAGATGTGCTCGTCTGCCTCCAGCACAAGGTGGAAGTTGACGTGTGGACGCATTTGTGGGCGCAGTCACAGGTCACGCCGGGCTGTGCAGATGGACGGATCGTCTGCGCTGAAAGCCAGAGCGAGCTCTGCCTCCTGACAGCACAGGGCCACTCCTCGCGGGGAGGAGGGCAGAGCAAGAGACAATAAATTTGACTCAGGAACCTAACTTTGGCCTCTGCTTCCAGAGCAGCAGCAAGTGCATGCAATAAGGAGCAGAAAACTTAGGTCAGAGACGGCTTGTAGAAAGAGCAATCGTTATTTCTCCATAGGTTCATACATAATGTAAGAGCGTTGGGGAGGCAGAGGACAGAAGACATTTATCTAAGCGTCTCTAAAATGTGAAAATAATACTAAGAGGGAGGAGTGAAACGGTGGAGGTCTGAAAAGCCAACTGTTAGGAAGACATTATTTATTTAGAAAGCAAACAGCATACAAGCTCACTTGCTTCTGCTGCTGCAGGCATCTGTTATTTGTTATTTTAAAAATAATGTATTTCAGACATTTTAAACACATTCACAAACAGGCTGGGTAATGCACTGTTTATGTCTCTGCGCCTCTCCCCAAGGAGAGTTGCTGACTTCCTTGCCAAAGCAAACAATATAACATTTATGAAGGTCAAATAACAAAAAGGAAGCTATGTTCATTAAAGGGACACTATCAAATAAAAAATTGGAATTTAAGTGGGGCTGAGCTGTTCGTCCATACGTTTAAACAAAAACAACATAAACACATTTCTGTGTGACAAGAAACTTTCAATAAAATGTCATTAAGTCAGAAAGGTAATATGCACAAATTCTAATAACTTATACCCATTTAATTTTGAGAATAATATTAAATTTTCTATTTTAGGGCTTACAACAGTCTCTCTGATGAGCGGGGTCACGTAATGTATAAGAAAGAACTTCCAATCTGCTCACTGGGAGTATTTTACATGATTTCTATAATTTTGTTGGTTTCACCTTTTCTGTTTACTCAACGTAGATAACAACTCCATCTACATACAATGAAGGCTGTGTACATTTTGACACAAACTCAACAATTGCGTGACAAAACTCTGGCTTTTGTGATATAATGTTCCAGCAGTCACAGCTCACGATCATTATTAGCCAATACCAAAAATTACAAATTTGAATAAATTCAGTATAAGATCAAGTATTCCAAACAACATTGATAACCTGTTTCCCATATAAATTAAAAAACAGAACGGTACCGGAAGGATCCCTTGCATTATTAATCTGCATTATAAAATATGACGTTCTGTCATATTTACTGGCAATTCAATGGTTTCTGCAAGAGAATTAGCCTCCTTTGCAACCTGCAAAGCTTCTTGCCTCATCTAAATCTGACAAGAATTCTGTCTTCGAAGGTCACTGTAAAAAAACCACTCCCAATTTTCAATCAAAAAAGTATTTGTGGTTTATCTGTATCCTTTGGCTCTTGTGCTATCATCAGCTTTTGTCTTAAAGAGTTATTTCACATTGTTCAAAAGCAGTATTTCTTGTGAGCAACCACACACACCTCGGCCTTCACTCTGATGGGCTAAAACTCTAGTTGCCTCCTTTTGCAAGGAGACGCTCTGTTCCCTTGAGCGCTGAAGTATTGCTTCTCTGTGCTTCCTAAAGGATAAAATAAACTTCTTTGATTGGGCCAAACAGCATTATAAAACACACTACGCAGCAGAAGTTACCATTGCTTTTTACAACAGCACTGAGAGTTTCCTTTATGTAGTGGAAATATCTCATTCTGTGTGTTCTAGGACTTCATTGTCTTTTTCTGGGTAGCATCAACTCCTGGAACTGACTAATGCATCAAGTGTTTTCTCCTATATCCTCATTTTTCACTGAGAAACTTCCATTTTAGGGCATACAGCTTTAGATAAATGAAGTTGTGTTTTTTTACTACAGAACCACAATTTATTCCTGTTAATTTCCTCTCCCTTGTCATCCCAAATTTTTGTCTATACCACCCCAATTTTCCTCTGGGATGCCTTTATCTCACTTCTTAGTATCACTAACATGCTACTATGCCAGTATCATTTATGAAAATTATAAGTAAGCACAATCCCAGAATCAGACCCTTAGGAATTCATCAGTAACTTCACTCTGATCCAATACTTTCCCTGAAATTGTCAGCAATTTTCCTGAAATCTTCTATTCTCCTTTCACTATCTCTTTAGCCACCAGGAAATTCTTATTTTACTCTCCATGTTTTCCAGGATTACTACCAATAGAAATTTCATATATGGCACTGTATCAAATCCTTTATTCAAGTACAGATAGATAAATAGTCTGCTATCCCTTCTTTGCATAGACAATCCATCTTACTGAAAGGGTGTATCACAGGTGAGCCTGTGATACTGGCATTTTGCATTTCACCCCATCTTCCCTTTGGCTTTGTGATAAGTGGTAGAATATTTTTTTGGGGGGAGTCTGGAATGGAAAATTAGTAATTACTTCTAAAAATTTCCACCATAAAATCAAAGTCTCAATAGAGAAAGTTCTTTTTTTCTTACATTGGATCTGTTTAAAGAGATTTTTTCCAAAATTTAAAATTTTATTTTGATTTGGTCTGGTAACACCACGGGAAATGTGATCTTATCTGTTCTGAGGAACAAACTATCAAGTCAATCACAACAATCTAAAAGCCATAAACACTATTTCTCCTAGTAATTATTTTTGTTTTGTAAATACCTTTCACTTTCAGCAGTTTGCATTGTTTCCAGCTTTGAATGAGCTCCTCTGTTAAATCCTTTCACCTCTTGCTCCTCCAAAGATTCCAGCAGTCTGATCACATCTTTATTCACACCCCTTCGCTTTGCAAGGACAAGTGGTGTTGCACCTTGGTGATTGCTAAAATAACCCCACAAAAGGACATGAGAAGAAAAGAAACTTTTAATATAGAAATTTTGTAATAAGACAACTCAGCATAACACAGTATAATTTAGCTAAGTCCCCAGAACTACCTTCTGTCATATCAGACAGTAAGAAATTCCTGTCTATACAAGTTATGGCATAACTGACTATAGAAAAAAACCAGTATATTTAGGTTTGAAATTACACAATTCTTTTTTCTCTAAATAACAGGAGAATTCCTAGTACTCTAATTTAATGGGAATCTCTGGGTGTTATAACAGAAAATAAACACTAGATTTATGGCAATGTTCAAGATCATGCTTAATTTCAAGAAGGAATTGTGCAATCTGGTTCCTCATGGTTCCTTTTTCCATGTGGGTATTAGGACATCAGGCAAAAATGAAATAAAATACAGATGGTCCCTCTGCTACTATTAAAATAATAATGAAAAGGACCAGAGCTGCATTCAGACTAGGGATTTTCACCAGAGTTGTTTGAAATGAGAAAAAAAAACCCAAATAACTTGCAACCTATAAAGAATCTGGCCTGCCTATAACTAGTTTTGCTGAGTTGAAAACATTAATGAGGGACAGGTGAAAGAAGAACAAATTTAAAACCTCAAAAGTTTTGAAGTTACTACTGTTTTTTCGCAATGTGTTGTGGCTATGCAGAAAGTTCCACAAACAAAATAATTCAGTTACTGCAATGAAACAACTAGTTATTTTGCAGCTTGAGAGCTTGCATCTGAGCACTGGCATCTGACAGCTGCTGAGAGCCAGCAGGAAAGAATATACAATATTTAAAAGAAGGGCTGAGTCACAGACTTTGAAGGAAGGGGAAAACACTGAAAGGAGGCATTGTTACCAAAGGAGTATGGGAATGAACTGACACACACATACACTGTATTTTCTTTGTCTTAGACAGTACAACAATTACAATAGAACTGTGGTGGAAAAAAATCTTTTAAAGTAGTCAATGTGATTTTTCTTTGGTGCCAACCACCCACACCTGGCTGTCTGGCCAAACCAGGATAGCAATGTCATCACAGAGGCAGAATTAGATACAGCAGCCCACACCAGCAGCTGCTATTTTTATTTGTTTTGCCTGTTGTACAGGCTAGCAGAAGTGGCCTCTTATTGTTTTCCTGCCTTTTCGTTTTGTGTTTTTATTAAGTGATATCTCAAAAAGGTTGAATTGCACCAAATATAGCATTTCAAACCCAGGAGATTTATGTGCAAGGCTCTGGTGACAGAAAAGTAATATATTACAAAGTATTCGCTGTAAAAAAGAAAAAAAGTGACTTACCAAATATCAATTTTAAGTCCATTAGAAACCAGGAACTGGATGGTATCCACATGCCCACAGAGGTGAAGGGCTGTGTTACCTTGGTAATCAGTGGCTAGTAGGTCAGCACCAAATTTATGCAGGAGTTGACAGATGTCTACGTTTCCTCTGGCTGCAGCCAGGTGAAGGCCGGTTCGGCCTCGGCTGTCACGAATATTTGGGTCAAAACCGCTCTCTAACAGTCGTTTGGAATAGTTAAAATCTCCATCAATGCAAGCCTGCAGCAGAGGCACATTGGTCTGGGAAGAGTCGTTCACAAACACGTAGGACATTGTTCTGATTCTCGCTGGACTAGGTGTCTAACCTGCAAGTGAAAGTGCAAAGAAATGATGGTGAAACCAGGTAAATAAACACAATACACATATTGGGTGGACTGCCCAGGTTTCCAAAAAAGAATGCAAACAAATTCATAAACCAATTCTGAAATCTTCCTGTCCTATATACTGTGTGCTCCATTCCCTTCTGGGAATATGGAAAGAGCTCCTTTTAGTCTTACTCACACCTCTGGAAACACCAGCAAAGCTGCGTTATTACAGAAAACTGATAAGATCAATTCCACAAATGCAAGACAGTTGATTACCTTTCACCCAGTAAGAGATCACATGTAGTAGTATCGATATTAAAGGGCAAACCACTGTAGATCAGAAATGACAGGGAGAAGAACCAACATTCATAAATAGGGAAACTATAAACAATCCAGCTGATAGGTACAGTGACGCTAACTGCAATTCTCACCAGCTATAAGCAAAGCTACTCCACTGGGATTAGCTCCACCTGAATTTGAACTTTGATGCCCAAAGTACAGTCAGTTGCTAAAAATGCTTCATTACTATAAAACCTAATTCCTTCATTCTGCAAGAATGGTATTTTTCAGTACTCTCTGCAGAACATTATTTTTGTAGTGCCCCAGATACACAAACTACTGAACAAAGAAGAATAGCAATACGGACCGTGGAAAACTGAGTATATTATGGGAAATTGCCCACCTGAAAGTGAAAGCTGGAAGTGGGTCCAAGGAGGACAATGGTAAAATCAAGTACAGAGCTATTGTGGGTTCAACTAGAACCCCAACATGGAGAAGCACAAATGTAGTTTCCCGGGCTTAATACTAAATAAAGGATTAAGTCCTTTTCTACATCAGGACCTAAAAGAGAAAGATAAATGTTGTTCCACCATGGATTTCTTGATATGGAACATTTAATGAACTATGATTTAAGTTTTGCAGAAAAATATTTTAAGGATGAGTCAAACAATAAGGTATGATGACACTGTTCTTACAGGACACAGAAAACATGACTTGAAAACAAGGAAAAAAGAGAATGACTATGCAAGAGGATGGTAAAACGTGCATGAGGCAATGGTAAGAAGAGATGAAAACATCTAGGAGGCTGGACAGCAAAGCTTTGCACTGCCTCAGAGAGGAGGCAAAAAAAAGAAAAAAATAATCATATACACCAGTAAAAGTCCTTAGAAGAGATCTCAACACAGACATGACACGGTTCAAGTGACAGGAAGGAAAAGTGATTTTATGAGATAAGCTTTAAATGGAAACTGAACCGAAACTTCACTTGAAACAGTGTATTTCACATGCCCAGGGTTTGTATTTTGGGCTCAGGATGTAGCAATGTTCTGATTAACTATCTGAACCTCTTACTAAGGCCCCTATACGCAGATTTAAATTTTCTCATCTATATAAGGTATCCTTCCACACCAGTGCACTCATTCAGCCGGGAGAATGGAAACATGGCCAGTGGCCAAAGAATTCGATTTAAAACCTCTCCTTTTTTTGAGAGTTTGTAATGTCTATATTTCATAGCTCTTCCCCCATGTTTTAGATCAAATTCAAGATCAAAGTACCTACAGAAGTAATTTCAAAATGTTTACACATGGTTCTGATTAACAGCTGTAGCATTTGGGGCTGTTTGGGTTAATAAATCATACTCAAAATTCACTAGTTCGTATTTCCTATCTGGACAAATTCTGCTACATGTATCAACACTGCCTAGTTTCCCAGTGCAGGAATGCACAGCTTTTTTTTAATTTCTTGGAAGCAGAAGAGAAAGAGAGAGGAATAAAGTCTCCGTCCCCGTATCTGCACAAGGAATGATTTTAAGCAGAGTACATTCCCCTAAGCTGCAAGTATTTTTTTTAAGCACGTGATGATCTATCTCTGGCTCAAGCACAATCATATCCACAATCATATCCAAAAGCAAAAGGCCAGTTCACTGATGTACCGTAAAACATTTCATGCAAGACTGGTGTCATTTAGGGCACTAACAGCTTCCTTATAACCCTACACAGAAAGAAAGGACAATGTACCTATTCATCTTTCCAATGAATATGTTACAAAACATATGGAGGTTGCAAAGCTAGGATTCCCACTGACAGCACTTCCAGCTTTCTTGCTCATTTCCCTCCCAAATCATAATGGTAGGAGAATGCTTCTTCAGCTCTGCTGGTCCAACCTTTGCTGAGAAAAATATTGGGCCCAGTTTCTGTACGATGCAATTGTGACCTTTACATTATGCACTAAATCTTCCCTAAAGCAAGATCATAAATCATTTAAAAACCTCCAATTATCAGCCATAGTAACAGCATATCAACAGCACAAAACCCTACTTGTACTTGATAAAAGGATCGTGGTTCGCTTGTAAAAGAATATTTGAGTGTTTAAACCTCTTTAATAAAACAAGACCTAACATAAATCAACAACAGAATATTATACAGGAAGAGACATATTCTATTTGAGAAACAGTGTGGTATGCTCTGTTAAACGTAAGCTAATGTTTATATTTTCATTCCAGACATGTATGTCTAATAAAACCATACAGAATTCCCCCTCACTTCACATACAGTTCTGATGAAACACTAGGTAATAATACAAAAAAAACCCCCGTGACCACCTTATCTTCTCAGGAAAGGAAGCATAAAGATTAGCAGTTATCAGAAAGTGTAACTGGAAGTAATTCTGATTCAGAATTTATTATCACTAGAATCTTTTAGAATTGTAGAAGACTAACGTGAAAACTTAGCATTTCACAGTAAGAAAGAAAAAAAATCCTTCTTCCCAGCGTTTGAAAATTGTGGACTAAGCAAATGTGTTCACACACAAAAAAATCTGGACCATCTGGTTTGATTTATCATTGTGATTAAAAAGACCTTTTCTACAAACACAATTCTGTTTCACATATGGCTACCTAACCTATGCCAGATACGAGGTGCATACACAGCCGAACCGTATACCCTCTTTAAAATGCCAGTCCCAAAACGGTATGTTCTTGCCTCAGATTTAACCCAATTTAGCAAAATTTCCTGTCTAACAAAGCTCAGAAAAAAATTACAACAGTCAACTTAATTAGATATTTTTGAATAAAGACACTGTGGTCACATTTCTGTCTACAGTATGTACCACACAGCTCACTGCTGTAATGAATATCTAATGCAGTGGATTTAGAAAGAGAATTCCAAAGCATTAGCCATTCTCTTTAAATCACTTCTGAAAGGTGAATCAGGAATAACTCTGAATCTGCCTAAAAGCTGGTACCCCTGCCATTAAGCACTAAAGTCACAGGCACAAATTAGGACGAAGGGACTTGCGTTAGTAACAAGACACGAAAGTACTGCAAAATGAGCATTCTGAATATCCCTATAAATTACTACTACTGGAATTAAATAAATCTAACTTGGTTCAGTGAGTGCTTCTAAAAATGCATCACTATCTACTGAGAATGTATCTTTTAAATTATACTTTTGTTAAAAAAAAAAAAAGTTTTGCTGTTAATATCTTGGTACTTTGATAGAAAATTAGTTTTGTGAAAAAAAGTAAATTCAAAGACATCCTCCCAAGCAAGAAGGATTCCCATTAGAAAGGCATAATATAAGAATACATTTTCCCTAAATTTACACGATGTGGATATAGCCTGAGCACAGTGTACTTTTACTAATAATTTTAGAAATTATGGTGTAAGCCCTCTCTTCAATGACACATGGTCTAGTACAGGATAAGAAAATCTAATTTAACTGTTTTGTTTTCAAAAGGAATGCTTGTATTAAGAGATTCTGTAAGAAGAATTTATGTTTATTTATCAGAAGACAGTTGTCTCCCACTGTACTGTGTACGACGGTAACTCAGTACACTGATCACAGTCGATCTGTTGTGCAACACGTTCACACCTGCAGAAGCCAGGAGCGATCTTGAATAATTCAAACCATACAGCTAGATGCCAGTTCTGTTGCTTCTTAAACTAGTCCTAAATTTGCACTAACTGCGGACAGTTTAATTTTACAGTAAATGTATGTTGCTGTCTCTGCCTTCTCAGAGACAAATACCAATAGACACCAAGACCAAAGAGCCCCAGAAAACGGAGAGAACGCCTAGATTGTGAGACAGAATCACCAAGGTGGGATCCGTCTCTCCACTGCAAAAATATTTATGAACCTGACAAGTTGTAATTAATCACCCAGTCACTGCTACGTAGGATATACCAGTTCTTCAAAATCACAGTATTTCCAAGAACATTCAGAAAAACTGAAGTAATTGTCCCTACTTTAAAACAACACATCAGGACAATGGAACAGTATTAAATTGCTCAGTACTTGTGATTTCTCGGTATTAATACACACTCTGACATTTACAACCTCTCAGTAGGACTACCACTAGAGAAGCTGCCACCACCAAGAAATGTAAACTAAAATAAAACCAAGAAACAGTAACATCCCCCACCCTGCACCACCGAAACACACAACACGCGTTACTTGTAAAATCTACGTTTGCCAACTCCCTGGTGGCAAACAGCTTCCTCTTTCAGGAATACACTTTGAGAGCTCTGGCAGTGGCTTGCAGAGCTCTTCCTCTTCAGTCTTTAAATGAATGAAAAACATTCCAGTTCTTTGCTTAAACTGTAGGCCCATGATCTCTGAAAGCAAAGCTTCCTGGTCAAATGGGATCGTTCCCTTAAAAACATTATGTCCTCTTTGGATATACAAGATAATATTTTTAAGAGGTGTCATTTAATAATTAAAAAAAAGAAAACCAAACCACATTACCCTGCTTGTGCATCCTCTGAACACTGATCAGATGTTGAAATGTAAACCCAGCAATATTATTCTCTTTTCCTTTCCAGGTAGGCTGAGGGAGAAATTCCTTGGTTGGTTTTCATGCACGCTTGTATTTATGTGAAAGTTACTAAGAAGACATCTAACTGAATAAATGTTTTATTTAGTAAAAAAATCATACAATCAAATTGTCCTTTCTGTTTAGGAAAGAATCCCCCATTATCTACATCATGTTCCACTGAGAGCTCT